ACACAAGTTTACGCAGAAGTTAATAGAAGAAATATAAGTAACTTTATATTTCTGCATGTTTTCATTTGTCCAAAATTTATTTGTAAAACATGCAATATACACAATTTTGGGTAGGATCTTCAGGAAGACAGATTCTTTAGAGCATTTTCCAAATGACTAAGAATTTGATACCAACATTTAATTTGCCTACAGCTTGGGTCACATGAAAGAAGAGAGATCATGAGCAAAACGAAAAGTTTTCAAATCATGCAAGCAGCCCATAAACAATTGCTTCCTGGTACATTTGAGGCCTAAGTCTATAACTGCAAACAGCATAAAAGAAAAGCAAATAACAGTTATGATTGTTTGGAAAACTCAGAGGCCATTATCCTAGTCTGGGTCTTTCCAATACATGGCGCCATCATTTTAGTTAATGAAGATGTTGGGTGTCTGGTCTGGACTTTTTGTACAAACAAAGCATAGGCTCTAGAACTGAATTATGGCTCAGTGTCCCCGTGCTTCACTTCAACTTTTCCAGGGACCACTGCTAAAGAGACAGGTTGAATGAGCTCAAACTCCACAAGGGTTAGAACACATTATGTTGGCTCCCAGTAATACTCATAGATTCAAGATTGAACAGAAAGAACATTTGAATTTCTGTGCAAGTGAAGATACAGAGCTTCAAAAAAACGTGATCCTATTTTATTCTCGACGCAAAACTCTGGTCAAACTGAACCTATGAAGATTTGTACTCTCTGTGAAAGGAGACCTGACTTTATCCATTATCACTGATTTGGGAAATATGGGTGAGCACTTGTCAGGGGATCTATAGGGGCACATTGAAAGTTCACTCCTCTGACTATTATGCTGCTGGGTTTCCTCCAAATGATATCCCTCAAGCCTATCAGAGATTTTGCCATATTTTCAGTTGGTTTTGGCCCTCTCTCCCTTTTTTCCTGGCTTATTCGGAACTTTTCCAAATTGAAAAGTGACCAAAAATAGGCCTGAGGAAAGTCTGGTGAAAAATACTGAAAATCTTTAAAATGCTGGCCATTTTAAAGTCAGCCTTCCAAATTTAGGGGACCAATAGGACCACAAAGTGATTTGAGGGTTATATGTAACCCATAGGATAGTTTGCTTACTCCTAATCTAAAATAGTTATGGGCTGACTTTAGATGCTTGGTGCACTCTTATTCACCTGGGCTTTAAAAACTTTCTGAGGAAGACTGTGAAACTGAGGATCTCTAAACATAAAAACACATAATGTAGTTGATCTGACACAGGTAATCCCGAGAACACCATCTTTTATGAGAGCAAGTCATTGATCAGACAAAGGCCTACACAATCTAGCTCTCTCAGAAAGTGTCCCAGTCGCCAGCAGGTACTGGGTGACTCACCTGAAACGGCTCTAACAGTGGGCCATTGGTCTACTTTCTTGCCCACCCTGCTCTGACACACACACTTATCCACCTGTATCTGCTGCAGAATGTTTGCACAGGGAGTAGTTTAGGCCTTCATGTCAGATAAATAGCAAGGTGTGTCTAAAATCAGAACGTTGACAGTTTACACAAGGAAACCAGCAAGCCTGAAAGCTCCACAAAACTATTTTTTTACTCTAATACTGAAATATGTTCTTTCCTTTTGGGGCTACTAGTCCACAAACACACACACACACATAAAAGAAAACATGACTTTCATGCAGGCACAGTACTTCCTATTTTAGCAAATTCTATTCTTTGTACCCAATCAATAATAGCGCTCTCCATCATGACAAAGGCATCTTCCCTACTGTAAGTAGTAATAATAATAATAATAATAATAATAATAATAATAATAATAATAATACAATACACCAGACATCAGGATTGTGGAAAAGAAAAGAGTTTGGATTATCGATGTCGCCATATGTGACAGTCGCATTGAGGAAAAACAACAGGAAAAACTCATCCGCTATCATGACCTCAAAATCGAACTGCAAAGGCTCTGGCATAAACTAGTGCAGGTGGTCCCAGTGGTCATTGGCGCACTGGGTGCCGTGCCAAAAGATCTCAGCCGGCATTTGGAAACAATACACATTGACAAAATCATGATCTGTCAACTGCAAAAGGCCACCTTACTTGGATCTGCACGCATCATTCGGAAATACATCACACAGTCCTAGATGCTTGGTAACTGTTCGACTTGTGATTTTGTGATACGAAATCCAGCATAGATTGTTTGCTGTGACATGCTGTGGTTTTGTGTCAGTAAAATAATAATAATAATAATAATAATAATAATAATAATAATAATAATAATAATAATAATATCTTTATCTATATCCCGCTTTTCTCCCTCACGGACCCAAAGCGTCTTACAATATATTAAAATCATGTAAACAACAATCCCAATACATCAATGATGAGTATGTGTTTCTTGGTAAGTCGATGGTTCTCAACCTGTGGGTCGCTAGATGTTTTGGCCTTCAACTCCCAGAAATTCTAATAGCTGGTAAATTAGAGTGTGCCTCTGGGAAAGCTTATCAGGACAACAAATTAGGATAAGACTAAGGAAATCCTCCAATATCACATAGAGCAGAGGGGACACAACATATCCCATGAAAAACATTTCATTTATGTATTTTAAAATATATGATTTATTGCTTATTTCGCATATCCTCAGAGGTTTCTTGTTATGTCCATGCAACACACCTTCATGCTGCAGCCAACACACTAATGAGTTGCAACCCACAGGTTGGAAAGCTCTGATCTTGAGGGTTCTACCCCATGTCCCACCAATTGATACAGTTAGGTCTGGGCTGTTGGAATCTGGTATTGTTAAAACTCGGGGATAAGAGGAAACACTTCCAGCAACACCTGGGTGACTGTAGGATATTCATCCCTGCTATCCACTTTGCATTTGTTTGTAGCAAAGACCTCACAAATCCCACCTATCCCCAAATGATCATAAAGTTGTTCTCTTCAAGACTTAACTGGTCACTAGACACCTCAATCACCTTTCCTGAAATTACCACATCTAGCAACAAGCTTTCTATTATGCAAACAGTTCTGTCTTTATTTTAAGCAGGCATATTAGAAATCTCCCCACTGTGTGCACTTTACTCTGCATATCTCTTTTCACCTGTTACCTCCTTTTATTTGTGTATCTCCAACTTGCAAATCCTTTTCTTTTCTTTCCTTCCCTCTTCTTGCTTCACAGTTGTATGACATGCACACACATATGCTAATGCACCTCTCTAAATTAGACACTAACAGTACGCACAGATTTACTGTCCCAGCAAATCACATACTGATATAGGCAGACAGGCAAGATATAAGAGAAAATGACTGCACCTTCACCACAATCTTTTAGATTCAGGAAGAGGAAGGAAAAGATATGCAGATTTAATGAGGCACACTGTCTTCTCATTCGCTTTTGTATTCCTAATGGACCTGCATGGATCACTACTTGTGAAGACATGGGAAAGAACCACAAAAAACAGACTAGGTTTTGCGAGTGGGCTAAAGACAGGGAATTATTAACTGTGTTATAGTTCACACAGTTAGAAAAAAATGAAGTTATGGGAAAAGACCAGAATTGGGGGAAGGACAGAAATTATTTTGAAAATGAAAGAAAAGTGATCTTAGCATCTTTTACTGATTGAAAATAATCATGTATGTGTGTGTGTGTGTGTGTATCTATCTGTATATATGAGATACAGTTTTACATTTTCATGTACTGCATTTTGATTATCATGTTTGCTATATTAAAATAACTGTTAATTTTGCCAATTTATCAGGGGCAAGTAATAAATAATAAAGGGAGAATAAACTATTAATATTAGGAAACCAAAGAAAAATCATGTTTTTCCCTCTAATTTTGCTTGGTGTCAAGCAGACATAAAACAGTTGTGCTTATAAAAAGAGCTTACAAGTTAATACCAATACCAAGAATTGCAATTAACAGATACTGTATGTAAGGCCTTACTGCCACATAGGTTTTAGAAATACTCTTGTGGGCATAACTATACAAACACTTTGTCTTAAACTTTTTTGATCATTTAAAAGAAATTATTCCCAAATCAACAGTTTTCCAACTTCCCCAATATCCAAAAGGAAAAAAAAAATCCAAAACCATGTTTATCCTCAGAAGTTTTGTTACCAACCTTTTTTTGACCAGGGATCACTAGACCAGTGACCACTTTGACCAGGGACCACTCTCCAACATTAGTACCAAAAGGGTTATGAATTAGTTTTTGGTCAATTTAAGATTCGGTTTGGTTATTTGGGGTGCTGGTTCCGAAAACTGCATTGGATAGACCACATCAGCTCTAGTTTCTGATACAGAACATATGCCATCCAGTAGTTGCCATCTGCTTGCCCACAAAAAAAAACTATATTTAATAATCAAGAGCTGATGTGGTAGAAGTAATCTTTCATGGGTATATTATTATTATTATTATTATTATTATTGATAGTCAGCCTCTCCTCTCCCGACATCCCTGTTATTTCAGCACTACAAGAGGGTTTTGCGAGACCAGCCGCTCTCATTGCTGCATGGTTTCAAGGCAACAGTGCAGTAATGATGAGGCCATGGACCATATTTTCAGTTTTGCGGACCACTGGTGGTCCACAGACCACAAGTTGGGAACTACTGTTGTAAATGTAAGAGCTTTATAGATGTATCCCATGCAGATCTCGACACTGAAAACTAACATTCAATTCATTCAGATTTCTCGGAAGGATTCAAAACTGGTTACAACACAAACTGACAAACATATAGCTAAGATAATTAAAATTGCTATGCCACTACAAATTCCACAAAACATGTTTCATGGGAATGAGGACAACACCAAAGTTTAACACCTCTGCTCTTCCAATTAGTATTCAACAACACACATTAATGGCAGCTAAGGGACCTCTGATACTTGATGCACTGGAACAGACTTTAGCTTCTAGCCACTGTACAATCCTTAGGTAGATCAGCCCCTTTTTTTGATTGCAATTAAAAAATAAATAAAGCTATATCCATAAGGTACTTACTTATTTATTAAAGGATTTCCTGTTGTCTTGTGGTAAAAAACTGGAATGGGCACACCCCAGCGCCTCTGTCTCGATATACACCAGTATGTTCTTCTGTCCAGCATTTCTAGCATTCTATTCATTGCTGAGGCTGGCACACATTTTACTTTCTTTAATGCCTCCTGTCAAACATTCAGAAAGAAACAAAAATTTGAGTTTGAGATAGTTGATATTTGTAAAGGCAAATGAGGCATGAATACTTTACACTAAATTTGGAGGCTTTGCTATAGTAAACATTACAAGAATATAACAACCTATAATATCCCTCCCAAGACGGAACCCTTCATATCTAAGTAGAAGCATTTTAAAATACTATGAATATAATAATGAAGCTCATATTTACAGACACAGCCCGCATGACAGTCCAGCATAGCACAACTCCTATGCATTTCTTCAATTTTGCATCTTTGTATTTATAAATAAGCTCACTACTAATTCCTTTTCAAGCACCTAAATTACCAGCAACTAATATTCATTTTAAGTAACCAGGCAACTGTGTATTATGCTCTTTCTTGTTACTTCACACATATGTCACTAATCAGGAACCTACACATTGATACAAAGAAATACAATTACATTTGATAACTCACATTAAATTATATTTCCATATACTAAAAAAGCAATGGGCAAAGGGCAGCTCTCTCGGGGTTGCTGAACTAAAACTTCCATCAGCCCTGGCCTGTACAACCAAAGCAGATAAGTGCAGACCAACAACATCTGGAGGACTGCATTTTTGCCCATGTCTGTATTAAAGAATGGAGTGTACTAGGGCCCATGAACATGAGAAATCTGTTTTGTACCTGAGCAGCAGACTTGAGATTTGCTGTATTAATGAACCACTGTTTGCTGGCACGAATAATCACTGGTTTTTTTGTCCTCCAGTCATAGGGATAGCTATGAACACACTTCTCTTCTTTTAGTAAGTTCTTTGCTCCTTGAAGCATCTGAATGACTGAGGAAAGTAAAAAAGATCACTAAATGGAAAGTCACTAGTGAATTCTAAATGCCAAAGACTTGCACTTCTTCTAGATGTCAGTATAAGACAATAGATTTCCCATGTTTCATTTCCAAACACAAATAACAATACTGACCAGCTTCGTTTCCTTCTTCAAGAACAGCTTTCTTCTGAAGTTCAGAACCTGCTGCTTCTGTGAAACGTCCCTTCTCATCCACTAGACAGTCCTACAAAATGTATGAAAAAGAGATATATTTGTGGTTATGCCAAAAAGAAACATTTGAGAAACTTGTGTTTGCTATTATTTTACAAGAATGAATTATGCTAACAATCTAGAGATGGACAAGGCCTCCATTGTATATACTAAAAAGCAAGATTAGATTTGGCAATAAGAGAGGGGGTTACTATAGAACAGCAGATTTCTAAATTTTTAGGAAGGAAGTGGCAATCATTATTTTACTCAAAATTATTATTGTTGTTGTGTGCTTTCGGGTGTTTTAGATTGATGTACACCTTATACATATAGCTTGAAAGTCATTTCATACAATGTGTTTCATGGCTGGAATCACTAGTTTGCTATGAGTTTTCCGGGCTGTATAATATCATTATGATAACAACAACAACAACACTTTATTTCTATTCTGCCCTATCTCCTCAAGGGGACTCAGGGCGGATGATAGTACACATACACGGCAAACATTCAATGCCCCTTTTTGGATAGACAATACGGAGACAGACAGAACAGAAGGAGGTATGTTGTGTCGATGTCAGCGCCTTGGAAGGTTGTGCTCAAAATCTGACCACAGGGGGTGCTGTTGATCCATCCTTTATTATGCAGAGCCATTAGGACGTCCTCCTTCCTTTTGGCCACCAGCATTTTCTGGTCTTTTTCTTTTACAGTGTCATAAAATACTTCCCCCACTTGTTTTAGCAGTACCTAATTTCTCTAATTACAGCACAAGCTGTTTTCGAACTGCTTAGGTCAACAGTAAGTTGGGCTTGACAGTTGGCAGCTCATGCCCATCCGGGGCTTCGAACTGTCAACCTTTCAGTTGGTAGATCTTATCATTGCCGGTGATTTTGCAAAACATGTGATATTGCAGAGATGGGAAGAGTAAAAATGAATGGTAAGATGCCTAAAAAGCAATTTTCCACCAGGAAAAACAACCAATAAGTTGCTCACAGATAACTAAAGAGTTGCAAATACTCTTATAAATAGTTGTTCTATATAGAAGATGAGCTGTATCCATTGCCAAAATTATTTCATTTTACCTCCTTGCTTCTAAAAGTTCACACTCAGAAAAAAAAACCCACAACATTTTCCTGTCCTATCTGCAAATGTCTGGCACATTTTTGCTGTCAGTAGGAAGAAAACCTCTTATAGATGAAAGGTAAAACAAATAAAGCCACGGTACCATGGGTAGTTGGTGATGAGAAGCAACACCGAAATCTTCCATACCATGAGCTGGGGCTGTATGAACTAATCCTGTTCCTTTTGACATTGTCACATGGTTTGCAGGTAGGAGAGGAGACTGCTTTCCAGGGATTGTAGGATGTGAGCACATACCGTTTTCAAAATCTGTTCCTATTTTTTTATAAAAAGCAGAAGGAAATCAGACAAGGAGGAAAACTGCATGACATCATGAAAGAAATAAGCGTGCAACATTCAGCATATGTTCACATGGTTTCAGTGAAATAAGGCTTAATATTTTGAAGAAACACATTTATAGCTCAAGTCCTGATAAAAACGATGATGTTAAGTACCATCTGAAAAGAATGCCCCATTCTACCTTTTGAGATTATGTCCTCTGCAATTGCTTATGTTTAATTACTCTCCCTAATGGGCAAAACTAGACACACTGACAAAGGATGATAAGCCATCTTGATGTTCTGAAGCATTATTCCCAGCAAGAATGACCAACTGATGGGGATTATGGCAGCTATGTGACAATTTTTTTATACCCATCATTCTGGAATTCACTCTGAGATGAAGGTTCACTGTGGAACAATTTAAAAGTTTCTTTGGCTGATTTAGCCCAATTACCTAGACTACCCATCAACCCTGCAGGAATCAAGTCAATCTGAATTGCTCACTTAAATGAAGTCATAAGCAACAAGGATCTAAATGCACTTTCAGCTGAAAACCTCCTGAAAAATAAATTACCGTATATACTTGAGTATAAGCTGAGTTTTCAGCCCCTTTATAAGGCTGTAAAAGCCTCCCTTGGCTTATACTCCAGTCAAGGTTATTTATTATTTTACATTATTATTATTATTATTATTATTATTATTATTATTATTATTATTGCATTTATCATTTTACTCCATTATGATTATTAAATTTAAATTATTTTACTCTAATATTATTTTACATTCATTATTTTACTTTATTGTTGTTATTATTACATTTATTATTTTACTCTAATATTATTATTTTACATTCATTATTTTACCTTATTATTGTTATTAATACATTTACATTATTTTACTCTATTGATTTTTATTACATTTATTGTTTTACTCTATAGTTATTTTATTACATTTAATATTTTGCTCCCTTTATTATTATTGGAAGGATATGTAAGCACATTTACATTGAAGAAGGTTAGAATAATGGTTTAATCAGAATTCGACAGTCTTATCTTAAATTACAGTTTTATGTAAATATTCAAAAACATTTAACCTACCGATGCTTCAATTTATGTAATATTGGTATCTATTTTTATTTTGAAATGTACCAGTCGCCCTTGGGCTGAGAATTGCGGTATATAAGAGCAATAAATAAAATAAATAAATTTCCCACTCTTGACTTAAACTCGAGTCAATATGTTTTCTCTGTTTTTTGTGGTAAAATTAGGCACCTCGGCTTATATTTGGGTCGGCTTATACTCGAGTATATACAATAATTTTCCCATGATCAGCAACAGCACCATAAAAGGAAGACACCAATGACCATTTTGTGGGTATTGATAAACTGGTTGAGTTAAACAACAATCTTCTGTTCAATGTCAAACATATATCTATTTCTTTGATTGTGTATTCAAAAATGTTTACCTTTAAATGTTGAAATCACATCAAACTGTGTATCCAAAAGAGCAGCTGTAGACTGAACTCTGTCAGAAGCTATGATGAAGTGTTCCCCAGTATCTGTGCACTTTACAATTGAGTACCTAAAATATGAATAGGCAAGATAAATGCTTATTTATTGCTTTTAAAAGTGAGGTTAGCGTTATACAATAGCATTTAAAATAGCGCATACACTCAACTATGCAGACTATTCCCATCCCATGGCAATTCATATAACCCATTCAACATCAATGCATTTTCATAGGGGCTGTCACACTAAGGATAACCAGAAAGAGAAAAGTCCTTGTTCACATTGTTAAGATCTACTCATTAATCCTCTTCCCTTGGGAATCTTTTTGAGTCTTCCATTTTTAAAAACACACTAAATACAAAAATATTATTTAGTGTCTTCCACTTTCCACCATGATGTGCTTTATACTACATTCTTCTTAAATTCACGATGAGGCAAATTTAATCACCTGCTGGTGTCCTGTGTACTGAATAAGGCAGCACAAATGTGCCACTTCAGTCATAACATCTACTATCACAGATGTCCAAATCCAACTGTTAGCCCCAAGAAGAGTAGTTCTTTTGAATCAACAGAAACCTGGTACAGCAACGCTTATGTTCCTTCTATTTTGTGAGTCTGTTCTATTTGGAAATAACAACTTAATTTAATCTCATTCATCAGAGACGACTTAAGAGGAAATCAACACATACTCTGAATTTGGCATATAACACACAGCTTGATTGGATGGAATAGTCCAGGCTTGTGTGGTCCAGATTATCAAATTCACAGCAGGTAATCCATCTAAAAATCAATATATATGTATAATCAGTGTTAGTTCAAGTGCATCAGTAGTGATCTAATAGGAACTGAATTGAGAACAATTCTGCAATACATACCTATCACTGACGACAGTTTTGGGGGTGGTTTTGACAATGGAAACTTGATATAAACTGAGCGACTCACATGCTGTTGATTGTATTCAAGTTCTGCTTCGGCCAAGGCTGTACTGGATGATGAGAAAGTATGAATTAGATATACTGGAACAAAGAGCTTCAAATTACATCAGAAGTATAAAGCAAGGTTGATACTTACTTCGTTGAAGGAGACCAGAACACTGGTTTATAGTCCTGATAAACATAACCCTAGAAGAGGAAGTGGGGTAAATAATCAAGACAAAGTGGTATTTTGCATGAAATAGGTTTTACATTACCAAGTATTAACCTACCTTATCAAACATTTGGTGAAAAATATGTAGTTGTTTGGCTTCATACTTCTTATCAAATGTGTGGTAGCAGTTATCCCAATCTGCCATTATGCCCCAGCGAATAAAGGCTGATTTCTGTTTTTCAATTACTTTTTCTGCAAATTCTGTGGCTGAAAAGAGACAAGAGGTTCCCAATATCAGTTCACCAGATTCTGGGCAAATCCTATTTGCATTTGCCCCAGGTAAGGCAGATAAGGTAGTAAAAATAAAAGATTTCTTAAGGGTAACCTTCTCATATCTTTTTTTCCCCACAGAAACCCATAATTTGCAGGAGTTCCTAATTCAGGAATAGTAACAGTTTTGACTTTATACAATAGCTATGATATAAATTGCATATTTGGACTTCAAAATCAGCAGGGAGTGAAACACAATTGTATACGAGATTTTCTATCAATACAAGGCCAAACAATGTGAAGTTCAGACAAAGAAACTAGCAATTTCCCCAGTCGTAGATGAGGCAGAACAAGAACACACTAGGGATAATAGACACTTCTGACTGGATTATCCTTGATGAATGCAGGGGAAATGTCTCTGAGGAGGAGACCAGCAACAGGGTCAGTTTTCAGGAAAACTGCAGAACACCTTACAGGAAAGGGACCCTGTAAGGTGGGTACTGAGATGGGTGTTGGTCATAGATGACTCCCTCCTGAGAGGAACAGAAGCAGTGATTTGCAAACCTGATAAGATGTCTAGGGAAATATGCTGCCTCCCTGGGGCAAAAAAATCTACCACATAACTCAGTTGCTGACAAGGCTCATCAAGCCCCCTGACCTTTCATGTTGGTTCATGTAGGAACCAATGATATTGCAAGCCATAGTCTTCAAAAGATCAGAAAGGATTTCCTCCAAATTCTTAGTTGGATAGCTTTTTTCTTTCAAACGTATACAGGCTTGCACATTGAGGATATCAGGAAATTTTAGAAATCATGCACTTTTAATCTACTTATTTTAGATGAGTAGTTCTCAACCTTCTTAATGCCGCCACCCCCTTAATACAGTTCYTCATGTTGTGGTGACCACCAACCATGACATTATTTTTATTGCTACTTCATAACTGTACTTCATAACTGAATTGTAATGTAAATATCTGATATGCAGGATGTATTTTTATTCACTGGACCAAATTTGGCACAAATACCTGATACACTCAAATTTGAATACTGCTGTGGTTGGGGGGGATTGATTTTGTCATTTGGGAGTTGTAGTTGCTGGGATTTTTAGTTAACATACAATCAAAGAGCATTCTGAACTCCACCAACAATGGAATTGAACCAAATTTGGCACATAGAACTCCCATGAGAAACAGAAAGTACTGGAATGGTTTGGTGAGCATTGCCCTTGGGTTTTGGAGTTGTAGTTCACCTACACTGTGAGAGCACTGTGGACTCAAACAATGATGGATCTGGACCAAACTTGGAACGAATACTCAATATGCCCAAATGTGAACACTGGTGGAGTTTGGGGAAAATAAACTTGACATTTAGGAGTTGTAATTGCTGGGATTTATAGTTCACCTACAATCAAAGTGCATTCCAAACCTCACCAACTATAGAATTGGGCCAAACTTCCCACATACTTCCCCATGACCAACAGAAAATACTGTATTATCTTGATGGTCTTTGGTGACCTCTCTGACACCCCCTTGCACCCCCCAGGAGTCCCGACCCCTAGGTCTTGTGTAGAGAGATTCTGACATCCTCACGAATAAGGTGCTCTGTCAAAGACTAACTTTTACATCATAATTTAATACTCACAGACCCTCTCAGAAAGTTTGCAAGAAGGAACATACCCTTTTGTCTGATTTCCATTGGTGAAAGATCATCTTCCTCGCATTCTGACAATGCCTTCAACTCAATGGGGAGCCCATGGCAATCCCAGCCAGGCACATAATGCACCACATAGTCCCTCATCATATGAAATCGATTCGTGATGTCTTTCAAAATCTGGACAGTAACCAGAAGAGGAAGAGAAAGAGAGAGGTTCTAATTCCTCAAACCTCCACAACATTTATGCTTTGTTCAGTGAATACCATAAACAGTGATTATTTGAACAACATATTGCTAGCACTTAATGAGCAAAACCAACCAGTTTGGCATAAATTTGACATTTGAGACAACAGAAAAGTGAAAGAAATCTACCCCTGGAAGAGTTATTATGGAAAAAAGGTATCTCCACTGAAACTTTCTCACCAATCCTTGTTTTCACAACAAGTCGATTTTTTCAATACCCAATTATCACAGGGGAAGAAAATGAGGTGAAATCTTCTGAACAGGGTGACAGACAGCAAAAAAATATATAACAGGGATGTTAATCCTTCCCTATGCTACCCAAAGATAGATAGATAGATAGATAGATAGATAGATAGATAGATAGATAGATAGATAGATATGGCATTATACTTTAAAAATTGACCTGTTCCAATTTACATACAAATTCAACTTGAGAACAAACCTACAGAACCTCTCTTGTTTGTAACTTGGGGACTGTCTGTGTTGTAGGTGACTACATCACCTTTTTGACTGACAAATCAGGCAAAAGCAAACTTTATTATTTTGAAATACCATATTTACTTGAATCTAATGATCACCTTTTTGAGCTACATGACCATGCCAAAATAAGGATGCACATTATATTTGTGTCACAGAGTAATATTAGTGCTGAGCCAAAGAAAAAGGGGAAGTTGCTTCAAGAGCAGCTGGAGCTCCAATATTATCTCTAATTAAATGGCCATGGCTCAATCCTATGCTATCTTGGGATTTGTAGTTTGGTGAGGCACCAGCATTCTTTGGCAGGGAAGACTCAAAACCTTGTCAATCTACAGGATTCTATAGGTTCATTCTACATAGATACACGCCATAGATAACTGGTAGCTTTGGTGTTCTAACATAATTGTTTACAACAAAGGCATTCTAAGCAGGCAGCAACAGTAATGCAAACCTTTTTTGGCCAAATTACAAAAAGTGTGCTTTTTGCCACTGCACATTACATTCGGCAGTAAATACTTTTTTTGATTTCAGGTTTTGGAAAATAGAGGTGCACATTAGATTTGATGGCGTGTTAGACTCGAGTAAATAAGGGTAGTTCATCTTTCTCACACACAGGTGTGGAAAACATTGATCAAATATTGCAAGCTTCCTTCGCCCTTTTGAAGTTCTCAAGTCCCTGGCTCCCCCTTTTATAGGTAAAAAATGCCCAACTGTTAATTATTTCCCCTGCAAGATTCCTGGAGTCATGAATTTACTAAAATCCATGGCCCTTTCAAAACATATATTAAAACCTCAAAACTCATAAGTGAAAGACAGTTTCAGTTGCAATTGTCAGCTTGTTTTGAAAAAAAAACCCCATAAAATAGGGCAGTGTATCCCTCTACAGGCCCTCATCACTGCAGCTCCCCACATCTGTTCTAACATAATGGAAATCAGTTTTCTACTTATTTCCACTATTGCTCCACGCATTTATGAAATCTAAAATGTAATACATCTATGTGAACTAAAAGCACAGTACTATGGAAGCCTATTAGTTTAGGAAAGTAATCCTCACTTTGTTCAAAGCGTGGCCAACATGTGGGTCTCCATTGGCATATGGTGGTCCATCATGAAGACAGAATTCTTTCTTTGTTTTCCTTTGTCTTTGCCATGAATACAGTTCTGAAAAGCCACATTTCTAAAAGAAACACAACATGAGAAATAGTCTTATATTATCAATATAAAAGTAAGAATTTATCCTTGGGTAAACATTAAAGATATACAGAATGAGCAAAATTCTACTCGTAATACATGGACTTCTTGCTATGCTCCCTCAAATACCATTCACAAGTGTTGACTGACCTTCTGAAATGGAACAAACTAGACCGGAAGTGGAACAGGAATGCCACAATAATTTGGCACCACTGTCTTTCTGGTTCAAGCAGAAATTCTTGTCCGTATGAAGGTATGAAACTCACTGGACTACCATGTCAAATTCTTGTAGCCCAATCTACCTAACAAGCCTGTTATGACGATAATGTGTGTGTGCCATGTACTGTTGTCCCTACATATTCACAAATTCAAACATCCATAATATGAAAATATGTTTGTTTGTTTTTAAATATATATATCTGCAAGTCAAACCTTGATTTGTCTATGTTATATGAGGGATGTTGTTTTACTTTGCACTGGATATAATGGGACTTGAGCATTCATGGATTTTGGTATCCTTGGGGAACCTGGAACCAAACCCCAACCAATACCTACTGCATACCACTGAGAAGAATGAAGCAAAGGCTAAGTATAACTATCACAAAATAATAAACAGTGCTGGTAAAAGGAAAACCCCACCTTTCTGAGGAAATTTTTCATTCTCAATTTAAACCTTTTTCTAAAGGTATCACTGGGAGCTTCAGAAAGGCATTTTTATCAAGAGTCTTGTCATACTATATAGGGAGTTTGAAAAAGGTAGACCCAATTTGAAATTGCGATATCTTTGGAACTACAGACCATCTGTGAATGAAACTCTTACCACCTGAAAGTGTAGGGCTGGAGTTTCAAATGATTACCACTAGATGCCTCATCCCAGTGCACAAACAGTGCCTGACATCAGCCATTTGCAAGATGGAGGAATCCCCCCCCCCCCAATGAGATATTCTCCATTTATGTAGCTATTTTTAAGATTTATTTTTGGCTCAAAATGGTTAGTAAAACTTGATAACTCATTAAACCATGTGTACTTTTTGTGTAGTAGTAATGTGTTACCATCGTGATATATACTGCTTTAGGTCCATCATTTTGAAACACCATGTATGTTGCTGTAGTACTATTGCTCCACTTTAACTGACAGGACAAGTCTGTGGAATTATGAGATTTGTCATTTAGAGAGGACAAATAACTTTCTGGCTGGGAATTCTAAGGACCCTTCCAGACAGGCCCTACATCCCAGGATCTGATCCAAGGTTTTCTGCTTAAAACTGGATTGTATCAATCCTCACTGCCAGATAATCTGGGATAAACAGAAAACCTGGAATCCGATAATGGGCTATAGGACCTGTCTGGAAGGTCTTGGAGGCCCCGTCCACACAGCTGTATAAAATCCACATTGAACTGGATTATAGGGCAGTATAGGCTCGGATAACACAGTTCAAAGCAGATAGTGTGGATTATCTGCCTTGATATTCTGGATTATATGGCTGTGTGGAAGGGCCCCGAGTCTCTTCTCTTAACTGCCAGTCTCAGAATTATGCACCATGTCACCATTACGGTGGAATTACAACATTATGACAGTGTAGTGTGATAGTGCCTTAAGACTGAGGGCCCTTCCAGACAGGCCCTATATCCCACAATCTGATCCCAGGTTTTCTGTTTATACCAGCTGATCTGGCAGTGCAGACTCATATAATCCAGTTTAAAGCAGAAAACCTGGGATCAGATCCTGGGATATAGGGTTTGCCTGGAAGCACCCTGAAAGGGAGAGAAAATTTCCATCTTCAGAACAAAGATTTTCACAATAAAATGCATATGTTGACTGCACTAAGGGTCCTTCCACACAGCCCTATATCCCAGAATACCAAAGCAGAAAATCCCACAATATCTGCTTTAAACTGAAATATTTGAGTCTACACTGCCATATATTTTATTCAGCTGTGTGGAAGGTGCCTTAGACAATTCATGCCACTACTGACATCACTAGCCATCTTGCTGGTTGTGGGGTTCTGGGAGTTGCAATTCAACCTCTCAGTCTGAAGGTGCATCTACACCAGGCATGGGCAAAGTTCTGCCTTCCAGGGGTTTTGGACTTCGACCTCCACAATTCCTAACAGCCTACCAACTACTAGGAATTGTGGGAGTTGAAGTCCAAAATATTTGGAGGGTCAAACTTTGCCCATGTCTGATCTATAAAAGGTAAAGGTTTCCCTTTGACATTAAGTCTAGACATTTTTGACTATGGGAGGTGGTGCTCATCTCAATTTCTAAGCAGAAGAGCCGGCATTGTTAGTAGACACCTCCAAGGTTATGTGGCCAGCATGATTGCATGGAGTGCCATTATCTTCCCACCAAGATGGCACCTATTGATCTACTCACATTTGCATGTTTTCAAACTGTTAAGTTGGCAGAAGCTGGGGTTAACAGCTGGAGCTCACCCCACTTTCCAGATTCGAACTGCTAACATTTCGGTCAGCAAATTCAGCAGCTCAGTGGTTTAACCCATTGCGCCATCTGGGGACAATCTATACTGTAGAACAGTGGTTCTCAACCTGTGGGTCCTCAGGTGTTTTGGCCTGCAACTCCCAGAAATCCCAGCCACTTTATCAGCTGTTAGGATTTCTGGGAGTTGCTTACTTACTTAGGCGATCCCTCGTTGTCTGAGTAAGATTGTCTTCCAAGTTCGGTATCCTAGCAGTGGGTACGTAGGTGACTGCTGAGCCCTATTCTTAATCTGCGTGATCTCCCGAAGTGAGGGTATCGGTTTCCAGGTGGAAGATGGTCCCGGTTGGGGTTGGCATGACATGCCTTCCTCTTGGCACGTTTCTCTCTTTCGCCCTACATTTACACCTCTTCAAATTCTACAGCACTGCTGGTCACAGCTGACCTCCAGCTGGAGTGCTCAAGGGCCAGGGCTTCCCAGTTCTCAGTGTCTATGCCAGAGATTTTAAGGTTGGCTTTGAGCCCATCTTTCAATCTCTTTTCCTGCCCACCAACATTCCATTTTCCGTTCTTGAGTAGAGCAAGCTGGTCCAGCGGAGTTGACGGCGGAGGAGCATTGCTTCAATGCTGGTGGTCTTTGCTTCTTCCAGCTTGCTGACATTTTTCTGCTTGTCTTCGCAAGAGATTTGCAGGATTTTTCGGAGGCTGATGGAATCATTTTAGGAGTTATATGTGACATCTGTAGATAGTCCACATCCCGCAGGCATATTGCAGGGTTGGGAGGACAATAGCTTTATAAACAAGCATCTTGGTATCCCCACAGATGTCCCGGTACTCAAACACTCTCTGCTTCATTCGGAAAAATGCTGCACTCACAGAGCTCAGACGGTGTTGTATTTCAGTGTCAATGTTAACTTTTGTGGAGAGGTGGCTGCCAACATTTTCTCGTGTTACACCATTAAGTTGTATTTCTGGCACTGGAGAGGGATTGGCTGGTGACTACTGGAAGAGCACTTTGGTTTTCTCGATGTTCAATGACAGGCCGAGCAAATCCAAAATGTATACTACTCATGATGATAGGCCTTGCCTCCTAAGCAGAAGGACACAGGTTGCACCAGCGTGACCTTCTCTTTACCTGCCATGATTCAAGTTAGTGCTGTGAATGCAATTCACCTTGAAGAAACATAACGAAAACACTCTGTGGCCCCGAAATCTCCCCTTGACTACAAATAATTATAAATTTTATTTATATCCCACCACCATCTCCGAAGGGACTCGGGGTGGCTTCGGAGAGGGATTGTCTGGTGACTGCTGGAACAGCACTTTGGTTTTCTCGATGTTCAATGACAGGCCGAGCTTCTCGTATGCTTCTGCAAAGGTGTTTAGAATGGCTTGTAGGTCTTCTTCTGAATGCGCACAGATGACGTTATCATCAGCATATAACAGATGTTGTAACCTTGGTTCTGGCTTTCAGTCTGCTGGGGTTAAATAGTTTGCAATCTATCTGATAGATGATTTCCACTCCAGTGGGAAGCTTCCCATCAACAAGATGTAGTATCATAGCGATGAAGATGGAGAATAAGGTTGGGGCAATAACACATCCTTGTTTGACACCTGATTCCACCTTAAATGGGTGGAACAGCCACTGCTGTCCAAGACTGTTATCATCATTCAAGTTAGTGATGTGAATGCAATTCACCTTGAAAGCACACAACGAAAACACCCTGTGGCCCCGAAATCTCCCCTTGACTACAAAAAATTATAAACTTTATTTATACCCCACCACCATTTCTGAAGGGACTCGGAGTGGCTTTGGAGAGGGATTGGCTGGTGACTGCTGGAAGAGCACTTTGGATTTATCGATGTTCAATGACAGGCCGAGCTTCTCATATGCTTCTGCGAAGGTGTTTAGAGTGGCTTGTAGGTCTTCTTCTGAGTGTGCACAGATGACGTTGTCATCAGCATATTGGAGTTCTATAATAGATGTTGTAACCTTGGTTTTGGCTTTCAGTCTGCTGGGGTTAAATAGTTTGCAATCTGACTGATAGATTATTTCCACTCCAGTGGGAAGCTTCCCATCAACAAGATGAAGTATCATAGCAATGAAGATGGAGAATAAAGTTGGGGCAATAACACATCCCTGTTTGACACCTGATTCCACCTTAAATGGGTCACTTTGGGAGCCACTGCTGTCCGAGACTGTTGCCATCATGTCATCATTCAAGTTAGTGCCGTGAATGCAATTCACCTTGAAAGCACACAATGAAAACACCCTGTGGCCCCGAAATCTCCCCTTGACTACAAATAATTATAAACTTTATTTATACCCCACCACCATCTCTGAAGGGACTCGGAGTGGCTTTGGAGAGGGATTGGCTGGTGACTGCTGGAAGAGCACTTTGGTTTTCTTGATGTTCAATGGCAGGCCGAGCTTCTTGTATGCTTCTGCGAAGGTGTTTAGAGTGGCTTGTAGGTCTTCTTCTGAGTGTGCACAGATGACATTGTCATCAGCATATTGGAGTTCTATAACAGATGTTGTAACTTTGGTTCTGGCTTTCAGTCTGCTGGGGTTAAATAGTTTGCAATCTGTCTGATAGATAATTTCCACTCCAGTGGGAAGCTTCCCGTCAACAAGATGAAGTATCATAGTGATGAAGATGGAGAATAAAGTTGGGGCAATAACACATACCTGTTTGATGTATGTGGAGGGAACAAGCTTGTTTTCTGCTTCCCTGGAGACTAGGACGTGGAACAATGGCTTCAAACTACAAGAGAGGAGATTCCATCTGAACACGAGGAAGAACTTCCTGACTGTGAGAGCCGTTCAGCAGTGGAACTCTCTGCCCCAGAGTGTGGTGGAGGCTCCTTCTTTGGAAGCTTTTAAACAGAGGCTGGATGGCCATCTGTCAGGGATGATTTGAATGCAATATTCCTGCTTCTTGGCAGGAGGTCGGACTGGATGGCCCATGAGGTCTCTTCCAAGTCTTTGATTCTATGATTCTATGATGTGTTAGCACTAAAGCAGTGGTTCTCAACCTATGGGTCCCCAGGTGTTTTTGGTCTACAACTCCCAGAAATCCCAGCCAGTTTACCAGCTGTTATGATTTCTGGGAGTTGAAGGGAACACCTGGGGACCCACAGGTTGAGAACCACTGCCCTAAAGGGTAAAGACCAGGTAAAACTACAACTCCCATCATTCCGACGCCTGAAAATGGGCAGGAGAAGCCTTCCTCTTCTCAGCTCCCATTTCCCCTTCCCTCCCCTTCTCCCCTTTCACCTGCTGTATCTCCAACTCCGTTTCGGGTTGCAAGCGGCCGGGGAGCTGGACGGGGAAATCGCTTCGGGGCAAGATAACCGTCTCCCTGTACGGAGAGTCTGGGCTGGCCTTCGCGCCTCGGCTGGGCCCCGCCGACGCCGCCCCGCGCGTCAAGCACCAGGCCCACCGGGGGCCCCGGGAGAAGACGAACGGCGGTGCCCTCAGCGCCCACATCTTCCACACTGGGCGCCACTTCCGGGAGAACGACGGCGAGCAGTGAGGACAACTACGGGTTCGCACAAGGGACATTCCGCAACGCTTGGAAACTGGCCTTTCGTTTTCTTTATTTCCCCAGTCCACATCTCGCTGTGTTTCTCGAGCGCCACCTAGAGGTCGGTCCTCATTGAAGCATTTGGGAGCTGTTCTTTCTTGATCTTCAGACCGAGCTTGTGATGCGCCTTTATTCTGGAATAAGTAAGCCTTAAAGCGAAGAATGGCAAGACTATTTGGCATCTATAAGGGCGTGAACATTATAGGATCGATGTAGTTTGACATCACATTAACGTCCATGATTGTATAGCAGGAATGGGCAAGCTTGGGCCCTCTGGGTGTTTTGGACTCCAACTCCCAGAATTCCTAACAGCCTGTAGGCTGTTAGGAATTCTGGGAGTTAGAGTCCAAAACGTCCAGAGGGCCCAAATTTGCCCATGCCTGCTATACAATCATGGGAGTTGCAGTTACACAAGGTCTTTAGCCTTCTCTGCCAAAGAGTGCTGGTGATTCACTGAACTACAATGCTCATGAAGCCATGGCAGTTAAAGTGGTGTCAAACTGCATCAATTCTACAGTGTAGATGCACCCTATATCAAACAGTGCCAGCGCAATAGGAACATACGATAGAAAACTGCACTCAAGAAGCTCATGTAAGCTTTAAAGGTTTGGGTAGTTTAATAGATTTTCAATGGCTTTATTAATGTTTATATGCTTTAGGGTTTTTTACACATTGTTATGATTTTGGTGTCAACTGCTCTGAGTCTCCTTTGGGAGAATGAAAGCAAATAATAATAATAATAATAATAATAATAATAATGGAAAAATTGTATTTGTTGTATATGAGATAGAAAAGGAGATAGGCAAAATAATATTACAGTCGGTTTTCTGTATCCATGGATTCTGCATCCAGAGATGCTACTGTTTATGGACTGATTTTTTTTAAATTCCAGAAGCAAATGTTGATCTTGCAATTTTCTATAAGGGACACTGCTTTACTACATCATTGTAAATATACAGTATGTGAAAGGAAAAGCTTTCCAATACTAAAATAGACAATACATAAAAAGGGGTAGATCCTATTGTCTGGTTTTCTGCAAACATACCAAGGCCCCATCTGCACAGACATATAATGCAGTTTGGAAATACATTACACGGTCAATATAGATTCTTATAATGCAATTGAACTACATTTAACTCTATTATCTGAGTCTACACTGGCCATATAATGCACTTTCATAAGGTGGATTGGCGGGCTTTAGGACCCAGAAGGGATTTAGGAGAGGCGGAGAAAGCAGATGGAGGAAGTAGTGGAGTTTTTGCAACTGGGAGAAAGGTGCTAATCTCCTGCTGCTTGATTGCTTTTGGGGAACCTCTGCTGCAAACAGGTAGGCTCTTATACTTTTCCCAGTCCTTCCAGTTTGCTTCTCTAGAGGTGCATCTACACTGTAGAGTTAATGCAATTTGACACCACTTGAACTACCTTGACTCAGAGCTATGGAATCCTGGAAGTTGTAGTTTTGCAAAGTCTTTAGCCTTCTCTGCCAAAGAATACTGGTGCCTCACCAAACCATAACTCCCAGGATTTTATAGCATTGAGCCATTGGAGTTAAAGTGGTATCAAACTGCATTGATTCTACAGTGTAAATGCACCCTTTTAGGCTCCAGTGAGGGTACCTATATGTCATTCTCTTTCTACCCCAAAAGGCTGTTGTGCAAATACAATAAGGGAAGAAGTCATTGGTGTAACTTCTTGACCTTGTTAGAGAATAGCAATGCTATAAATGTAATTGATAAAATATTGGGTTGCTCTGAGTTTTCCGGGCTGTATGGCCTTATATGGCCTGGGGCCGGAGTACCTGAGTACCGCCTCACCACCTACCAACCCCCAGACGATCAGAAGTTCCCAATTTTAGGACCTTTCACCTGATGTCTACTAGGTGTAGAGCATTCACGGTGGTGGCTCCTTACCTGTGGAATGCCTTGCCAGCGGAAACACGAGCTCTCCGAGACTTACTATCTTTTCGTAGAGTTTGTAAAACTTATTTATTTAGGCTGGAATTTGAATCTTGCTGATTGAAGTTTTTCTTTGATTTTAACTGTAATGTATCACATATGTATATTGTAAACTGCTCCGAGCCTTCGGGGAGTGGCGATATATAAAATTGATAAATAAATAAATGTTCTTCTGGAACATGGCAATACAACTGGAAAACTCACAGCAACCCAGTGATTCAGGCCATGAAAGCCTTTGACAACACATTGATAAAATATCGTGATTACAGCAAGGTATCAGCAACATAAAGTTATGTGTATGTTGTTAAGGAAAGAATATAGGTTTTCCCCCCGCATGGAATCTCAATTATGGCAACATATACCTTGTACTTTAATAATGAATCTAGAAAAGTACTTTTTTCCAGTTTCATTTTATTTCAAGTTTGTTCTTGTCTCCAGAGAATTGTAGTTCTTGGGGCTCCTTCCTGAATAAATAGGTAGAACTAGGCTGTGGTTTCAGCATTTATATGGCAAAACTGGCCAAACTGTTGAAATGCTTGCTTGATACTCACAAGGATTTTCAGGTGCTTAAAAGAATTGTGGTCTACGTTTTTTAGATAACTGATTTTTTCAGTAAAAAAAATTAGCCTTTTATGGCCCACCCACAAACTTAGGAAGCATATATTAGCACTTAAAAAATTATTTTAACAGAAAAGCATTTTATTGTGAATTGACTTAACACATGTATAAAGGTTGTAAAGGAGTTAGCTTATAATATAATCTTTAACCCAAGTAAAGCAGTTAGTTGCATAAGTGGAATAAAGGTAAATGAATCCCTCTTGGGAACTAGGAAAAAGCAAATACACACACCAAGGGAGTGTTTCCATTACAAAACAATTAAACTTATCTAAGGTTTGCTAACTCAGCTTTCCTTTCACTAATCAAGAAGAAGTAGAATTTTGTGTTGGAATTTACTCTTTTTTCACACTTATTTCACTTTTGTGAACAGTTTGTTCTTATGGTGCTTTCTATTGTTTGTGGTCTTCGTTCCACAATTGCAAGAGTTTGAAATGGCCCCTATTAAATAAATGCTGGCCTTCTCAAAGTTTAAGGCCCCTTCCACACACAGCTGAATAAAATCCCAGATTTTCCGCTTTGAACTGGAATATATGGCAGTGTGGATTCAGCTATCCTAGGGCCCTTCCACACAGCCATATAACCCAGAATACCAAGGGAGAAAATCCAACAATATCTGCTTTAAACTGGGTTATCTGAGTCCACACTGCCATATATTCCAGTTCAAAGCAGAAAATTTGATTCAGTTGTGTGGAAGGGCCCCCAGTTCAAAGCAGATATTGTGGGATTTTCTGCCTTGATATTCTGGGTTATATGGCTGTGTGGAAGGGCCCTAAGGCAAAGAAAAGTATCACACATTGCCATTTCCAGCTTGTAATGGAACATAGCTTGGATATTTTCTCTGCAGCCTCACAGGAGTGATTCAAAGTCTGCATTTACTTTCCTTATGTCATGATGAAGGAAAGGCAAGCTGTAAGCGATAAATCTTCCAAGGGGTTTAACAGTCCACTGTTGTGCACGCTTAACACTGCAGTAAGAGTATTACCTCCTCTCTCCACATGGAATACATTCCTGGATTTCTTGTGGAAATGTGACACCTCAAGTGCTATATAATCACATCATTGGATTTAAAAAACGCTTAGAGAGAACACTTAGCATTTTTGGAGGCTTTCCATACAGCCCTATATCCCACAACATCAAGGCAGAAAATCCCACAATATCTGCTTTGAACTGGGTTATCTGAGTCCACACTCAGGTAATGTGGGTTTTTCTGCCTTGATATTCTGAGAAATAGGGCTGTGTGGAAGGGCCCCCAGATCCTCTTGACTCTTTGTTATCAGTTTCTGGTGGAAGCATACCATAGGCTCATGCTGGAGGACCTAGAAAATCCTTATAGAAAATATATATTTTTAGTTGTGGATCATTGAAATCGTGTACACTAGTCCCACTGATTCAGTGATCATACTTTATTTTCCACTAAAAAAGCAAGCAAAGACTTGTAAATTTGAGTGTCGTATAAACAAAATCCTTTGATGAACTGCATTGAATACTGTGTTGGGGAGTGTGTGGCCAGCCAATGCTGCTGAATTAAAGTCCTCTCTGCACTTACTACTCCAAATGTCAGTTCCTGAGTCACAGGCTGTTAGTTTCTGGTGAATTTCCCAGGAAAGGAAGAAAAAATTGCAGCCAATGGGCATAAATAGGGTGCCAGTCTCTTCCCACTAAAAATAACAATTTTCCATCTCCAGATGAGAGACCTGGAGAAGTGCTTCTCTAGCTGTGGTCTCCTATCTACAAGAGGAGGAGAAAGCTGCAGCTGCCAGTAGGGAGAACAGATAAGTTTGCCTCACCAGCAACCCTTTAGCATGTTAAGAAAAGCACATTTGGCCACCATAATGAAAATCATAAGACAAACAGAGGCTGGTGCATCCTTGTATGCATTTTGGAAGTAGCCAACAAGTGGTCTTCAGAAAGTTCTGGTTTTTTTTAAAAAAAGTGGAACATAGATTTTTTAAAAAGGGATAGTGATAAAAAAGAGATTCATAACGTATCTGTGTTTCTTCTTCTTTTTATTTTTTTGGCCTTCTGTCCAGTAAGAATGGCTTCTAGTCCAAGTGTACTTATGCATCTTGTGGCCTCTGCATATTCTGTTGCTAATAAAGCAGGAGTAATTGTCCGGAAAGTGATGGCTGGAGGAGATCTGGGCATAGTAGAGAAGGTAACTTTCAACGTGTTCTTTCATTTTATTGTTAGCAGCCTTGAGTCCTTATTGGGAGAAAGGCGGGATATAAATGAAAATGATGATGATGGTGTCTGTTGTTCAGTGGAGTCTACTCCAACGTGAGGGTGTATATACAGATGCATCTTAAACGGATTAAAGGCAGCATAATATGTGCTGTGCAATCCTATATATGGTGTGGTAGGCTAAGTGTAGCTGCCCCCGAAGCTGTTTATATAGTTCATAAGTACTCCAGATTCCCTCCTCAAAATACAAACTTTATCAAAAAATGGAAGAGAGTACATTGCTCCATGGAACAACACACTGGTTCAAGATTGGGAAAGGAGTATGGCAGGGCTATATACTTTCACCCTACCTGTTCAAATTGTATGCAGAATACATCATGCAACGTGTCCTAGGCTGGAGTTAAAATTGCTGGAAGAAACATTAGCAAACTTAGATATGCAGATAATACCACTTTGATGGCTGAAAACGAGGAGGAGCTGAGGAACCTTCTAACCAAGGTAAAAAAAGAAAGTGCAAAAGCTGCTTTGCAGCTAAACATTAAAAAAAACCCTCAAGATTATGATAACCAGACTGATTGATAACTGGCAAATAGATGGAGAAAATGTGGAGGCAGTGACAGACTTTGCATTTCTAGGGTCGAAGATTACCGCAGACACAGATTGCAGCCAGGAAATCAGAAGACATTTACTTTTTGGGAGAAGAGCAATGACCAATCTTAATAAAACAGTGAAGAGTAGAGACATCACACTGGCAATGAAGGTCCACATAGTTAAAGCAATGGTATTCCCTGTAGTAACCTATGGATGTGAGAGCTGGACTATAGGGAAGTCTGGGCTTTTGAACTGTGGTGTTGGAGGAAAATTCTGAGGGTGCCTTGGACTGCAAGAAGAGCAACCCAGTCCATACTCCAGGAAATAAAGCCTGACTGCTCACTGGAGGGAAGGATATTAGAGGCAAAGATGAATTACTTTGGCCACATAATGAGAAGACAGGAAAACTTGGAGAAGACAATGATGCTAGGGAAAATGGAAGGAAAAAGGAAGAGGGGCCGACCAAGGGCAAGATGGATGGATGGCATCCTTGAAGTGACTGGCTTGACTTTGAAGGCGCTGGGGGTGGTGACGGCTAACAGGGAGCTCTGACGGGGGCTGGTCCATGAGGTCACAAAGAGTCAGAGTCAACTGAACAAATAACAACAACAACATTGCTCCTCTGGGGATCTTTTAGGAGAAAGGGTTCAGCTTTTAAAAGGTTTCAGAACCCTCCTGTCCTGTTTAATGCCAAAAACATTGAAGCCACTTGGATTCCCATATGGGAGAAAGGTGGGATACAAATCACATTAATCGATACCAGTACTTCGGAAGCAGAAATGAGCTTTCAGTTTCTTCTTGCTTGGTGTTTTTAAAAATTATTTTTGCAGTCTCTGTGGCCCAGAAAGTCCCAGGGACAAAACATTGTCACTGCACTTACACAACATTTTTGCTCAGAAGGTTTTGTTTAGTTATTAGTATGTTTAGGATTGAGTTACCTTCCACTAATGGAAAAATACATACATGATATTTGCCATCATATTGGCTTCAAGTTGAATCTATGAATGAGAGATCTCTAAGAACCCTGGCCATCAACAAGTGTTTCTCTTTTACATTTTCAGTAAATATATCATTCCCTAAAATCCTCTTTAAAAGTTATTATCACAAACTAGTTAGTACAGGTTAGTTACTAAAGGGAACACCAAATTCCCTTTGGCTAAAGGGAACACCAAATTCAGGACTCCAAAAATGAATAATTCATTTCTCACTTGGGACATTTTTCTGTAATAGTATACTTGGAAATGTTTATGTAGTATTTGCTAGTAAGATGAAGCATGTCACCTTATCCTATGCTAAAATAGAGAAAGGCAGCCTCAAAACATAATAAGCTTGTCTTGGCTTCCTACTATGCACCCCAAGATCAGTACAACTTTTTCATTGATGTTAGTTTCCTCTCCTTGGGATTAAATAGGAAGACAGTATCCCATTCTGAAAAATATTTCTGATGTGACTGCCAAGTGATTGGTTTTCTTACTTCTTAATAGAGTGGAGCTAATGACCTGCAGACCAAAGCTGACCGACTGGTTCAGATGAGCATCTGTTCCTCTTTGGCACGAAAATTTCCTAAGCTGACAATCATTGGAGAAGAGGTGAGGACTCTGAAATCCCTTTTCCTTTCTGTGTGCTTGGTTCACCAAGCTACATGTCTGGCACCGTTACATTACATTCATAATTTTTCAGCAGTCTTTGCCTACACACTGCTAATGTTCATTCTGCACATTACCCAGCTTTATGCATATATCACTTGCACACAGTGTTCCTAAAACTGTATTTGTTTCCCTCTTCAGATACCAAACAGGCAATATTATTTTAGATTAATGTATCTGTTGGTAGTGCATTGATTGTGTTTTCCCTATATGACAGGGAATTGGATTATGATTATTGTGGTCTCTTCCAATTCCATTATATATAGAGAGAAGACATGTTAATGGGAAGGAAATAAGCAAATGCATTTCCAAGCAAAAACCTATGTTTCGAGGGCATGTCTGCATGTCATGTATAAGAGGTCTCTAATACACTTATCATCCAGCCAGAGCAGAACCTTATGAAGGTCCAACTACACGATAAATTCAGTTTTGCCAGTGGCTCTTCTAAGTCAACAACGCAAACTTTTAAAGCTCTTGCTGTGATAAGGCAAGACCCTATTTTCACAACTGGGTTTCTTACCACTGGCCATTTTTTAAAACCAGGATCTTCCTTCCGAAGAAGTAGATGAACAGTTACTTGAGGATGGCCAATGTGAAGAAATACTGAAGAAAGCCTGCCCACAGCAGTACACTGCCATCAAAGAGGAAGAGGTACTTAAAACGAGATAAGTGAATGGGGAATGTGGGGTGAGGATTGATGTCTGTGCAGCTACTGTGTGGAGCGTGACCCAGAGCAATGACTGCTGATCAGTTTGCATCATATATCAACCAGACTGACATGTATCCCACAATGATTGGGAAAAAACCCCAAATTCCTGAGAACATTTGTACATTTACAGGATTTCTGTGTCTTAGGGACATAATATGGGAAGAAACCATAAGCAAGCAAAAAAGAATATTCCCATTGGTATTTAGTAGTTAAAAGCTGCAACAATATTGTTACTACACGTTGAGCACTCCAAAATCTAAAATTGTCTACTAAAATAGTTTTCTATTGGTTCAGTGTACATAAACTTTGTTTCATGTACCAAATTATTATTATTAGTATCATGAAATATAGATGAATCATAAAAGAACTTTGTGTATAGACTTTGAGTCCATCTCTAAGGTATCAAATTGTGTGTATATATAAGTATCTCAAAATTTGAAAAAAATCTAAAATCCATAACACTTTTGTCCTAGAGATTTTGGATAAGGAATACTCAACTTGTACAGCTAAAGGTTTGCAGGTAAATTATCTGTGTCAGGTAGAATTGGTAACACATCATTCAAGCATATGTGAGGACTGAAGAAAGGTAAATTTATTATGAAAGCATTCAGTTGCCTTTTGTGCAGCTCTTACTTATTTAGGTGATCCCTTATTGTCCGCGTATGATGGCTTTCCATGTGAAGTGTCTTGGCAGTAGATATGTTGGTGACTGTGGAGTCCTATTCTTGACCCACATGTTCTTCCACAGCGAGGGTATCAATTTCCATGTGGAAGGCAGTCCCGGTCAGAGTTGGCTTGACACGCCTTCCTCTTGGCATGTTTCTCCCTTTCATCCTCTATTCGTGCCTCTTCAAATTCCACAGCAATGCTGGCCACAGCTGACCTCCAATTAGAGCACTCAAGGGCCAGGGCTTCCCAGCCCACTGTGAATTCTCACATTAGCAGATTCCACCCACAGTCCTCAATGATTGTGTTGGAGAAGGAAACAAACAAAAAGTTCTGCTCTGCTGTTTCCTCAGCACAAGCTTGCTCCCAACAACCTGTCAAAAAGGTGAGAGACCCAATTAGTAGTGAAGTGACGGGCATGAAGTTAAAGGATCCAGAGTAGTTTTATTTCTGCTTCCCTGGGCTGCTCAGTAGAATCAATGAGAATAATAATGAATAAGAGTCTAGAATAATGTGCTTTCATAGGCCAATGCTTTTATTGGGCATCCTTCCTCACTTGATGGGCAGGAATATGGTATGTCACCTGTTTACTTTCTCAGCCTAGGGACAAAGCAGAGAAGAAAAACAGTAGTTATTTCTCACTGAACAGGAGTGTAATGTGTTAATTAAATAGACTGCAGGTTGAATTGTCTCATAAGGGTGTGTATATGCATGTATTCAAATATATTACTTCAAAGTGTGGGAAACCACCCATTTGCATTTATTGTATAGACTTCCCAGTTTCCTTGGTGACATCACTGGGATTATGAAAAGTACAGGACTGAATCCTTTAACTGCAGGAGTTAGTCTGGAAGAGAATTATCCTGCCGACTGAGTAGCCTGCATCTTATTGTGCTCAACACCAATTAGTTCCTGCTGGAGTTTGTGGGAGCAGCAGGAATGTTTATCATTTGTACTGGGGATAGTAAGAAATTGTGAGATCCACCTGCAGTTTTCTCGTTACCAAACTGCAACTCAAATGAGAGCTTACCAGAAGCGGTGAGAAATTGGTGTCCTTTCCAATAGAGGGAGCTCATTAACAGGCTACTGGATTTATCAAACCACCACACCCTTCCATCTTTATGAATAGATGCAACCGTAACTGAAGGAACCTACAATCATTCCTACATTTCACCTCCTTTGTGCTGATATATACAATGGATGTTCAATATTTAGTTCTGGGAAGCCCCTGGATACCAACATTTGTGGATGCTCAACTCCCATTATATACAATGGAACAGTAAAGTGACATTGCGCATTAAGAAAGATGTGATAGTTTAAAATATTGTTAAGCTGTGTATGGTTGAATCAATGGATACAGAATCTGTATGTATAGAGGGCTAACTGTATTAGTAATCAGCTGGCAAGTCAGATGACAAAACTTTGAGAGTCTCTCTCTCAACAGTTATACTTACTTTACTCAAACTAAGCCTAATTTCTAGTCCCTATCCCACATCCACATTAGATAATATAACAATTAGTCTACAGCATTTCAAGCATCCTCCATGAACATAGGGCAGAATTCCCCCTGATATTGTACCTACTAAGAGTACATTGGAATGAGATCTTGCTTCTCATTGCTTACCGAGGCAAGAAATTTGCTTCCTTCACTTTTTCCACTTTCTGTGGTGGTTCTTGTTGGGGATCCTGAGAGTTGGGAGTCCTTTCCTGGTTCTTCTTCGCTCTCCCATTCTTCTAGCTAATGTGTTCTTATGGTTTCTGTCTCAGTAAGATGCTTAAGAAAGAAACTACAGAGCAGAACAACTGCAGTGCTGAAAACTCAATGGCCAGTCATTTTCTCACTCAGAAAATAGTAGAAAATACTAGGGACCACATTCCCAAAAACCTCTTACTTATATCTACCTGAGCTGTTGAAATGTACGGAAGTGAAATAACTAGGCTGAACTAAGTGAGCATGGGCTGAAGATAGCTATTAGTTGCCTAGGTTACAAATGTCTTAACCTTTTCTTGGTAATGGACCATTTTGAAGATCTGCAAACACTTTTTTGGTTTTCTTTTTCCCAAAGCTCGTTGTATGGGTTGACCCTCTGGATGGAACCAAAGAATATACTGAAGGTTTGACCATTTCTCCCTGTTTGAATGAACACGATGCCATTTGAAGTAGTCAGATGTGTGTGTGTGTATAGTATCACACTCACTCAGAACAATTGGACAGGTAGAGGTCATGGTCACCTGGAAATGTAGATAATTCAGTTTTACAATAGAAAGTGAATTTCAAAAGAAAGCAGTTGGATGACTCATTCACTCTTTAATAAATGACTAAGCTTCACTTTTACTTTAGTCATGCATGTATACCAAAGGAGAAAAACAAATGATTTCTCTTTTGGGAGGAAAGTAAAAAACCCTTTTTGCTTTATGATCTTATATTTAAAGTTGACTCAAACAACTTTGTTTTCACTTATATTCCATTTTGTTTCAAATTTATGTACAAATTCCTCTCTCTGCTCTACAGTTCCACAGCAATCATATAGTAAATGAATCATAACTGGCCCAAACTCAGCCTGTGAACTTTTTACTTGAATGGGGATCTGAACTTGAGTCTCCACAGTCTTTTAAGTTTCTTAACTTGGTGACTTCCAGACTTGTGTTGGGCTGCAGTTCCTGTCATTCCCAGCTGCCATGGTCATTGGCCATGTTGACTGGGAAAGATGGAAGTTGCAGAGCAGTGAATCTGGGGGGCATTAAGTTAATGCAAGACTGCTCTTGTCATTACACCAACCTGCCTCCTTCCCCTTCCGTTTTTTGGACCTAACTTCTCAATATTAATATATATAGGAGTGTTTTGATTCTTCAGCATCTGTGTTCAGATTGGTTTTTCCATAACTTTTCTTCTTTCTTCATTATGGGATACACCAGATGCAGAAAAGGCAATGCATACCCTTCTGTTGCCCTCCACATTTTTAGAGTATAACTCCTACAGTCCTTTAGCACTGTCTGTGCTGTGTGAGACTAATTGAGCCCCCTTCCACACAGCTGAATAAAATCCCACATTATCTGCTTTGAGCCTGAATATATGGCAGTGTGGACTCAGATGACTCAGTTTGAAGCATATATTGTGGGATTTTCTGCTTTGATATTCTGGGATAAAGGGTTGTGTGGAAGGGCCCTGAGTTGTAGGCTGAAACAGGTAGTCAAAAGCTTCCCCAACTCTGATCTAACACACTGAGTTATATGAATTGGTGCTTTGAGTTTACAGTTAAACTAGAAAGAAACAGTGGTATTGTGTGCTTAGAATCATAGATCGCCCTGAGGGCTGAGAAGAATGGTATACAAATATAGTAAATAAATAAATAAATAAATAAATAAATAAATAGATGGTCATCCACCCAGCCTCTTTTTAAAAGCTAAGGAATTACTAACCTGAAGCATATGATGCAGGGATCTTATAAAAGACGATTCATCATCTGAATACGGGAGAGATTGCCTGTAAGAATGCTTTATCAACTCTCCCAGGTCACATTATAGAAGAAAGACAAGATGGAAATCCACTTTTTAAAAATGCAGCCAAGTTCTGTGATATTATATACTTGCAGTCCTCGAGTTAAGAAATGGGGCGAGACAACAGGAAGTAAGAGAAAGGGAAATTCACTCCTGGGAGAGTTATTATGGGAAAAAGCTATCTCCACTGAAGTTTTCTCATCAAGCCTTATTTCCACAACAAGCTAAACTTTTCAAAATTAAATTGTCACAGGGACAGAAAGTGAGACAAAATCTTCTTAACAGGGGCACAGACAGTAAAACAAACATTACAGGGCTGTTAAACCTTCCCTATGCTGTCCAACGCTAAAAAAATCAGCTGGGGTTACACTTAAAAAATATCCTGACTTACATATAAAATCAAATTAAGAACAAACCTAGTACAGAACTTATATTTTCCGTAACGAGGGGACAATATTCAACATTTGTAAGTTTAAGTACTTTTAAATGGACACTAGGATCACATAGGGCAATATCAGACAGAAGTATGTTTGTGTGAATATTTGTGCTTTGTCTTCCATATCCACCCTTTCTTCAGCTAAATAGTTCTTTGCCTCTTTCAGGACTTCTTGACCATGTCACAGTTCTTATTGGAATTGCTTATGAAGGAAAAGCTATTGCAGGAGTCATTAACCAACCCTACTATAACTATGAGGTACTTTTCTGAAAAATCATAATTGCCCACCTGGCTTGGGCACTTTTTGTATGTATGCGTACAGATACAGCCTTACCACTATGCAACCTGAGACAGATAGCAGATTTTTGATGTCATGAAATATTAGCCGTTTTTGTAGCAACTTAATATATTACAATTGTGCTGTATTACCAACAATGGGAAGAGGTGCATATGGAGTTTTATTTTAATGTATTGTCGAAGGCTTTCATGGCCGGAATCACTCGGTTCTTGTGGGTTTTTTCGGGCTATATGGCCATGTTCTAGAGGCATTTCTCCTGACGTTTCGCCTGCATCTATGGCAAGCATCCTCAGAGGTGAGGTCTGCTGGAGCTGGGAAAAAAGGGGTTTATATATCTGTGGAATGACCAGGGTGAGACAAAGGACTTTTGTCAGTTGGGCTAGGTGTGAATATTTCAACTGACCACCTTGATTAGCATACAATGGGCTGACTGTGCCTGGAGCAAACTTTTCTTGAAAGGTGATTAGATGTCCCTGGGAGGTGTTAATCTGTTGTTTTGCTGTTGTAATTTTAGAGTTTTTTAATACTGGTAGCCAGTTTTGTTCATTTTCATGGTTTCCTCCTTTCTGTTGAAATTGTCCACATGCTTGTGGATTTCAATGGCTTCTCTGTGTAGTCTGACATGGTGGTTGTGAGAGTGGTCCAGCATTTCTGTGTTCTCAAATAAAATGCTGTGTCCAGGTTGGTTCATCAGGTGCTCTGCTATGGCTGATTTCTCTGGTTGGAGTAGTCTGCAGTGCCTTTCATGTTCCTGGATTCTTGTTTGGGCGCTGCGTTTGGTGGTCCCTATGTAGACTTGTCCACAGCTGCATGGTATACGGTAGACTCCTGCAGAGGTGAGAGGATCCCTCTTGTCCTTTGCTGAACGTAGCATTTGTTGGATTTTCTTGGTGGGTTTGTAGCTTGTTTGTATGTTGTGTTTCCTCATCAGCTTCCCTATGCGGTCAGTGGTTCCCTTGATGTATGGCAGGAACACTTTTCCTCTGGGTGGATCTTCATCTTGACTCTCGTGGCTTGTTCTTGGTCTTGCAGATCTTCTGATGTCTGAGGTGGAGTATCCATTGGCCTGTAGAGCCCAGTTGAGGTGGTACAATTTGAAAAACAAGCTCTTGAAACAGCAACCAAAAAGCCCACGATATGGTTCAGATATGTGGATGACACTTTCACCATTTGGAGCCATGGAGAAGAAGAACTCAACAGGTTCCTGGACCATCTTAACAGCATCCACCCAAACATCCAATTCACCATGGAAAAAGAAAATGAAGGAAGACTGCCTTTTCTAGATGTCCTAGTCATCCGCAAACCAGATCAACAATTGGGTCACACCGTGTACAGAAAACCCACACACACAGATAGATATCTACATAAAAACTCCAACCATCACCCAAGTCAAAAAATAAGCACCATCAAAGCCTTGGCAGACCGTGCAAAAAGAATCTGCGAACCCCACCTCCTCCAAGATGAACTGAACCACCTCAACTGGGCTCTACAGGCCAATGGATACTCCACCTCAGACATCAGAAGAGCTGCAAGACCAAGAACAAGCCACAAGAGTAAAGATGAAGATCCACCCAGAGGAAAAGTGTTCCTGCCATACATCAAGGGAACCACTGATCGCATAGGGAAGCTGATGAGGAAACACAACATACAAACAATCTACAAACCCACCAAGAAAATCCAACAAATGCTACGTTCAACAAAGGACAAGAGGGATCCTCTCACCTCTGCAGGAGTCTACCGTATACCATGCAGCTGTGGACAAGTCTACATAGGGACCACCAAACACAGCATTGCCCAAACAAGAATCCAGGAACATGAAAGGCACTGCAAACTACTCCAACCAGAGAAATCAGCCATAGCAGAGCACCTGATGAACCAGCCTGGACACAGCATTTTATTTGAGAACACAAAAATGCTGGACCACTCTCACAACCACCATGTCAGGCTACACAGAGAAGCCATTGAAATCCACAAACATGTGGACAATTTCAACAGAAAGGAAGAAACCATGAAAATGAACAAAATCTGGCTACCAGTATTAAAAAATTCTAAAATTGCAACAGCAAAAACAGCAGAGAGAAAACAGGCAGGGACATCTAATCACCTTTCAAGAAGAGTTTGCTCCAGGCACAGTCAGCCCATTGTATGCTAATCAAGGTGGTCAGTTGAAAGATTCACACCTAGCCCAACTGACAAAAGTCCTTTGTCTCACCCTGGTCATTCCACAGATATATAAACCCCCTTTTTTCCCAGCTCCAGCAGACCTCACCTCTGAGGAAGCTTGCCATAGATGCAGGCGAAACGTCAGGAGAAATGCCTCTAGAACATGGCCATATAGCCCGAAAAAACCCACAAGAACTGAGAGTTTTATTTTGTTTCTCATATGCCCAAATAATATGGCTGTCCTCAAATACTGTGTATCTTGATTTGTGGCATGGAGTGCTATTTAGTATTCTGCCTCATGCAGCAAAATGGACCAACCCTATTTAATTATCACTGCAAAGTAGTGATGAAGTATGGTGGGTCTGGTTGTTCAATGTTAATCCTATGAATGTAGGTGACTTAGAAAGAGTTATATTGCAACGAGCAGTAGGGTGACCAGAGAAAGCCCCGAGAAAGCTGACTACTTTTTTGTGGAATAAAGAGAATCAGTTTACTTAGGTTGCAGGTTTACACCCCATGGAACTCAATGGGACATGTACATATTTGCATTATTAGTGGCCTTGGTGGCACGGCATTTCTCCTTAAGAGAGTTATACAAAAAAGTTATGCCCTGAATTCCTATAATGACAACTCTTTTGGGAGGTTGTATCAAAAGTGAGATTTTATAACCATGTTTTACTATATGGGAAAAACAGTGTTCATATGTATCGCTGGAAAATCTCTAACATATTTGAAATATGCATACCTTTTCTGCAGGCAGGAGCAGATGCAGTCTTAGGCAGGACAATCTGGGGAGTCCTGGGCCTGGGTGCCTTTGGATTTCAGCTGAAGGAGGTGCCGGCTGGAAAGCATATCATCACCACGACACGATCACACAGCAGCAAGCTAGTCAATGACTGCATTAGTGCAATTAACCCCGACAGTGTGGTGAGAGTAGGAGGTGCAGGTAATAAGGTATGGAAATAATCCTATGTTAATTTTATAAAAGCATAAGTTCCCTTTTATAAAGATTAATAGGATGACCTCTGGGCATTTTTTACAGGACATGAAAGCTTATCCTGTAAAGCATTTTTTGTCTTGTGGGCATTTTGTCCTATATGTAAACTGCCTGAATCCCTTCGGGGAGATGGTGGCGGGGTATAAGAATAAAAGTTATTATTATTATTATTATTATTATTATTATTATTATTATTATTATTATTATTATATCCTTCTATTATATTATAGGTTTTTCCAATGAGTAGAAAAATATTGTGGATGAATGTGTCTTTTAATGGGACTTTATAATATAAGGAGCATATAGTTGGGTAACTGCAAAAGGGGTAAGGGCCAGTTTTTCCCCCAACAGCCCACATCATGTATTTTTTTGCCAACTGAAAGTGATGTCATGTTACATCCAGTTTCATTTTCAATTGAAAGTCATTAATTTTTAGGACAGTTGTGGGGGATTAGTCAAACCTTTGCAATTTCAGAGCTTTTTGTAGTGGTTTAGTCTATTTAAAGTGGTTTTTCTTTTTTAAGCTTAAGGAGGTTTGGGAGTTTCCGAGGCTGGGTCTTGGAAGGTCACAAAATGTGACCAAGGAGATGCTCTTGGCCTGTGGGCTCCATTTTCAGTTGAAGATCTTTTTATTCTTCTATGATTTTTATTTTTTCTTTCTGACATCAGCTCTCTACACAGTTGTAGGCACATGAATGTGTAGCTTTACTATATATTTGGTAATGTTTTGTCGTTATCCTTTGCTACAGATTTTACTCTGTGCAATTTTATTAATGTTTTATATCTGATATAAACTACCTAGAGAATGTTGCTTGTTGGTCTGTCTAAAAGTATAACATAGATATGTACATTTTCCAAGACATGTACAGTATCTACAATTGCAAGCTTTGCAGGATGCATTTGTTTTTTTTAGTGCATCTTTACCTTGTAACAGAATTTTGAACTCTTTGTATCAGATCATTCAACTTGTAGAAGGCAAGGCTTCTGCTTATGTATTTGCCAGCCCTGGGTGCAAGAAGTGGGATACATGTGCACCGGAAGCTATTTTGCACGCAGTAGGAGGTAAGTTAACTGATATAAGAGATATTCATCCTGTGTTTTCATGCTATACTGTTTTTAATGCAAATCCTATGGCATTCACATATATACATGGGTTATCTTTATGTATTTGAAACTATATTGTTTGTTCCAACTAGAGTAAAGCTATTGAATGAGTTAGACTTACCAATATATTGAATTGCTCTTAAACAATTATTATTATTATTATTATTATTATTATTATTATTATTATTATTATTATTATTATTATTATCTGTTGTAGTTGGGACTAACCAGTAGGATTTCTACTGCCGTTTCTTATTAGCTTTATTTTTTAAGTTGGACAACTTAAAACTGACTTCTGATTTTAGATGTTCATTGATTAAGTCATATGCTTCTTAAACACAATATAATATATATTACAACAATGTGGAATACGTATTTTATGTATTACCTAAGTTGGATTTTAAAATTGAAGTTATGCTTAACCTTACACAATATTAGTTGCTAGGGCCTTCCTGGTGGCACATTGGGTTAAACCGCTGAGCTGCTGAACTTGCTGACTGAAAGGTTAGCAGTTTGAATCTGGGGAGTGGGATGAGCTCCTGCTGTTAGGCCCAGCTTCTGCCAACCTAGCAGTACGAAAATATGCAAATGTGAGTAGATCATTTGGCGGGAAGGTAATGGTGCTCCATGCAGTCATGCTGGCCACATGACCTTGGAGGTGTCTATGGACAACACCGGTTCTTCGGATTAGAAATGGAGATGAGCACCACCCCCTAGAGTTGGACATGACTAGACTTAATGCCAGGGGAAACCTTTACCTTTACCCTTATATTTGTTGCTTTCACATGAAGAGATTTCATGTTGCTTCTTCATTCTTCAAATGAAGAATGAAGATGAGCAATGAGGACAAATATGTTGAACACGTTCTTTCCAGCAGTTAGTTGAAACCTTAGCCAAAGGAACTGTGAAGTCAGATGACTCTTAATTTTTCCAGTTAGTCCAATATTCATTCTTTCTCTTTCTGGAGGATAAAAAACAACAGTTCTATGTGCTAATTAATCCAGATGAATTTTCTTGATTCATACCAGATATGAATGTTTATACTAAAATGGACCTGCATTTTGCCTGAATTAAAATCTAATAATGATTTGGAAAATGAAAATCCAGTTACTTGAGTCATTCCTTAGTACAATGCTTTTTCTCTGTGTAGGTAGCATTTTTGAATGCATAAATGTAATGCACACATTTCTTCTTTTTTTCAGGCAAACTGACTGATATTCATGGGAATTTCTTTCAGTATAACAAAGAGGTCAAGCACATGAATTCAGCGGGTGTCCTTGCTGCCTTGAGAAACTATGACTATTATGCCTCTCGAGTTCCTGACACAGTTAAGCAGGCCCTTGTACCCTAAAATACATTCCACTTGGATAAGAAAACTCATCGACATGTCATATTATTCTTAGCTGGAATTGATAATGATTTGTGGAATTGGATCAAAGTGTCATTGTGTTACATTTTTTTTACAATTGTGTCAGTAATTTACTAGTCCAGATGAGAATTAAATTTAGTTTTCAATTGGAACGGAAGAATAATTGAATTAATAGAATTCTTATCAAACTAATTTTCTATTCCCATTGAAAACTAAAGATTTGGAAGGTCTTTTTAAAAAGTTGTCCTTCTCCATTAGCATGTTTATGATTATTATTTTATAAACATTCCAACACAATAAAGCAACCATGTTATAAATCTAGGGAAGCATAAAACCTATTACTGAATGATTGTTATGTTTACAGTACTAAAATGTTTAAGTGTGCATCACACAGTGGCTGGTGTGACTTTGGGATTCTGCTACTGATGTCATTGCTTGGGTGTACTCATCTTGAAAGGGTACCAGATATGTATCTGATGTTGGAAATTTTTTTTTATTCTATGTATACACACAATTTCCAGACAGGTAGTTGTGCTGTTAATACACTATATCTGAAATACCATTCATGGATAAACACCTCATTCCAACATATGGGTGGGTGGGTTGCTTCCTGCTGAAGAAAATTAATTAGTCTTTAAAGTATCACAAGACTCCTTGTTCCTACAAATCTGAACTATGAATAAAATGCAATTGAAAAGTATACAATCCCATATTCTACAAGAGCACTTTGGTCACAAATCTATTCTTATGGTCCGTAAAAACTCCATGTTGCACAGAGAATGAGTGGTTACTTTTTTGTGTCTTTCTCACTCATATACATAGCTTGAGATGAGAGTTCATGTTTAAATCACTTTATTATGATACCCACATAACAAAACTATTGTCTGATCTTGCTTTCTACTCTGATGGTTAGCCCTGCCTTAAGCCCTATTATTTGTAATGGATGTATATGATAAACCACTGGTTTTTGATGGCCAGGAGCTCTTCTCTCAAGTTGGTCAACACGTCATTGACAGTTGTGCCCCAAACCTCTTCTAAAATTCCTTAACTTTGCCAGATTTATTATGTACACTAGAGTTCTTTGCATTATATGTCACCGTGGAACACTTCCTATAAGATCTTCCTATAAGATTGTTTTCTATATGATATCATATTGAAATTGTATGGTTCTCCTTTCCTTCTGAAATATATCTCTTACAATAAAACTAAACCAAATCAAAACCATATCAATTTGTCTGGGCTCCAGGAGATAATTTTCATAAATTTCGAAATGATTTTACAACCATATTAAAATAGTTTTAGAAAATGATACACATCACTATGTTTAATGGCAGGTTGTTTGTGTGTGTTATATACATTAGTATAAGCCGACCCGAATAAAAGTCGAGGCGCCTAATTTTGCCACAAAAACTGGAAAAACATATTGACTCGAGTATAAACTGACTCAGGTATAATGCTTCCTCTTTATCTTGGAAAGAAGTAACGAGTGGAGTGCCGCAAGTTTCCATCCTGGGCCAGGTCCTGTTCAACATCTTTATTAATGACTTAGGTGAAGAGTTAGAAGGCATGATAATCAAGTTTGCAGATGACACCAAATTGGGAGGGACACCAAAAGACAGGAGCAGAATTCAAAACAATCTTGACAGATTGGAGAGATGGGCCTAAACTAACAAAATAAAGTCCAACAGTGACAAATGCAAGATACTCCACTTAGGCAGAAAAATTGTAATGCAAAGATACATAATGGGGGAACACCTGGCTCGACAGCAGTAGGTGTGCAAAAGATCTTGGAGTCCTTGTGGACAAGTTAAATATGAGCCAACAATGTCATGCGGTTGCAAAAAAGCTAATCAATAGGAGCATAGTGTATAGATCCAGGGAAGTCATTCTACCCTTCTATTCTGCCTTGGTCAGTCATCTGGAATACTGTGTCCAATTCTGGGCACCACAATTGAAAGGAGATGTTGACATGCTGGAATGTGTCCAGAGGAGAGTGACTAAAATGATCAAGGATCTAGAGAATTATGATGAGTGGCTTAAAGAGCTGGGCATGTTTAGCCTGCAGAAGAGAAGGCTGAGAGGAGATAGCCATGTATAAATATGTGAGAGGAAGTCACAAGGAAGAGGGAGCAAGCTTGTTTTCTGCTTCCCTGGAGACTAGGACGCGGAACAATGGCTTCAAACTACAAGAGAGGAGATTCCATCTGAACATGAAGAAGAACTTCCTGACTGTGAGAGCCGTTCAGCAGTGGAACTCTCTGCCCCGGAGTGTGGTGGAGGCTCCTTCTTTGGTAGCTTTTAAACAGATGCTGGATGGCCATCTGTCAGGGGTGATTTGAATGCAATATTCCTGCTTCTTGGCAGGGGGTTGGACTGGATGGCCCATGAGGTCTCTTCCAACTCTTTGATTCTATGATACTATGTTTAGCCTGCAGAAGAGAAGGCTGAGAGGTGACATGATGGTCATGTATAAATATGTGAGGGGAAGTCACAGGGAGCTTGTTTTATGCTGCCCTTGAGACTAGGATACAGAACAAATGGCTTCAAACAACAAGAAAGGAGATGCCACCTGAACATTAGGAAGAACTTCCTGACTGTGGGAGCTGTTCAGCAGTGGCATTTTCTGCCCCAGAGTGTGGTAGAGGCTCCTTCTTGTTCTCCAGACCCTTGATCATTTTAGTCGCCCTCCTCTGGACACTTTCCAGCTTGTCAATATGCAGTCATGCTGACCACATGACCTTGGAGGTGTCTATGGATAACGCCGGCTCTGGCTTTAAAATGGAGATGAGCACTAACACCCAGAATCAGACAAGACTAGATTTAATGTCAAGGAGAAACCTTTACCTTTATATACAACTCAGCTTAAGCGGCTGGGGGTGGGGGATGGGAGAGGAAAGGGCCTGAGGCAGTTAGGAGTGGTGGGAGTTGAAGTCCAAAAAAGCTGGAGGGAGGGCCCAAGTTTGACCAGGCCTGCTGTGTATGATGGTTTGATAACGAGTTATGCCTCTGTCTCTATTCCTTTGATAGACCTCTGTCTTTGGCCTGTGGCAATTCAAGGTTCTGTGAGTGTGAGAGAGAGAGGCGGGCCTTGGTGTCGTGAGGGCGGCCCTTTTGGCTGCGGAAAGCAGAGGAGGCGGTGCCGAACGTGGCAACCAGGCCGAAGGAGGAGGAGGAAGAGGCGGCGAAAGGGAAGGCCTCGCCTCCTCCTCGTAGCAGGGCCCGAGTCGTTGCTGCTGCTGCTGCTGCCTCCGCCGGGCCTGCAACCCTTCCTTCCTTCCTTTCCTGCCATGGCGTTGAGCCTGACGGTGAACCCCGGCAACCTCCCTCTCGGTAAGGAACCTGTCATGTCGCCTGGCCGGGCTGCCTGCCCTCCTTCCCTCCTTCCTTTCCGAGGCCCTCCTTCCCTGAGAGGCGCGGGGAGGACAGGCATCCCTCATGTTGCTGCCATGTTGCATCAGGCGCTCGGCCCGGCCCCCTTCTCTCTCTCTCCATTCATTCCCCAGGACAGGCATCGAAAAGGGGCTTCGGCCTAGGATTTGGTGTGTGTGTTCCTTGGGAGACAGGCACACTGGGCCACCAGGGATATACTGGCCTGTGTTGGTGATGGGGAGAGCGGGGAAAGGAGAGGTTTCTCCCCGGCGAAGGCATGGAAGGAAGGAAGGGAAAGAGGAAGGGGAAAAAGTAARGAAGGAAATAGAAGAAAGAGAAAGGAAAGGAGGAAGGGGAAAAAGTAAGGAAGGAAATAGAAGGAAGGGTAAGGAAAAGAAGAAGGAAGGATAAAAAGAAGGAAGGAAGGAAGGAAGCGAAAGGAAAAGAGGAAGGTAGGAAGGGAAAAAGGAAAGAGAAGGAAGGAAGGGAAAGGAGAAGAGGAAGGAAGGGAAAAAGGAAAGAAGGAAGGGAAAGGAAAAGAAGAAGGAAGGATAAAAGGAAAGAAGGTAGGAAGCGAAAGGAAAAGAGGAAGGTAGGAAGGGGAAAAGGAAAGAGAAGGAAGGAAGGGAAAGGAAAAGAACAAGGAAGAAAGGATAAAAGGAAAGAAGGAAGGATGCGGAAGAAAAAGGAAAGAAGGAAGGAAGGGAAAGGAGAARAGGAWGGAAGGGAAAAAAGGAAAGAAGGATGGAAAGGAAAGGAAAAGAAGAAGGGGAAAAGGAAAGAGAAGGAAGGGAAAGAAGAAGAGGAAGGAAGGGAGAAAGGGAAAGAAGGAAGGGAAAGGAAAGGAAAAGAGGAAGGAAGGGGGGAAAGGAAAGAAGTAAGGGACAAATGCGGATTTAGGAGGCCGAGAAAAGGAGGGGGAGGGCCTTGCGATTTGACACGTGGCGAAGTTGGCCAGTGAGAATGGGGCAGACCCATGTAGGCCTCAAGCATCTGTCACTGCCCGGCTTCAGCCTGTCTAGGTTAATTATACTTTTAATCACACCCTTCAAGCGCAGGCGGGGTTATTGAGGGTGACAGGAGGATTTGTGTGTTTTAAACATCCTTTTCGGTTTAGAAAGTATCCAAGAAGAGATGGAAGAGATCATAGGATCCATCTCCCTATTCTGCCATGCAGGGACACAATCAAAGCACCACACACAGATGACCATCCAGTCTCTGCTTACAAAACCTGCTTGTCGCCTCCTCCATGTGTCATCCTGTCAAATATTTAAACCTAACCATTATGTCCCCTCCCAAGCTTCTCTTTAACTCTACTTTTAAGATTCAGCACAAGGCTGTAAAGTTATTCATGGTTTCCTAGCTAGTCTTATTTTCCCCMCTCTTACACATAGAGCTTTTTATGCATCTCTCTCTCCCCCCCCCCCCCCATTTTTGTAGTGTTTTCAACATTTTATATAGGTTGAGCATTCCTTGTCTGGGATTTCAAAATACTCTTTAAATTATTCACATGAGTGGCTGAGCATCACTTATTTAGAATTCTAAAATTATATGGACAGAATCCATATCTGACCACATTGGTAGCTGAGACACTTGTCACTTTCAGATGGTTTGGTTCCGTGCACAAAATTATTTAAAATAGTATACAAAATGATCTTCAGGATGCCTGCGTAAGGTTTATATTAAATATAAATGAATTTTGTATTTAGGCTCCAAATATCTCATTATGTATGTCTATGTAAATGTAGGTCTTCCAAAATCCAAAACAAATCCCAAATAGTTCTGGTTGCAAGCCTTTTGGAGAGAGGATATTACTACTACAACTATTATTGTTATTACCCTTCTTTCCTCTCTCAATTGAGACTCAAAGCGGATAGTCCATCTGTTCTCCTTTAGCGTTCCACCTTCTTTTTTTTTTACCGCTTGTTACCTGCTCATTTGTCTGTATATGTGATAGCACTGTCTATACTTTTTATCATGAACATATGGATGCCTTGGTATGTTTATGCAGTCTCCTCTTTCATAGTCGTATGTGTGTATACACACGAACACACAGATCTCATTACTCAGTTTTGTCATTGACTCTTCCCATGTTTCATCTTTGCTTCCTTTGTGTATAAATTAGTTATTGTTTACCTGAAAATCATTTCTGATATTTGGCAGGCCTAGGGTGGCCCTATCACAAGGTTTTCATGAAAGATTTGTTCAAGGAGGTTTGCCACTGCTTCCCTTTGATGCTGAGAGAGTGTGACATGCCCACAGTCATCCAGTAGGCTTCATGGCAGAATGGAGATTTGAACTCTGGTCCAATTCGTAAACCACTACATCATGTTGGCTCCAAAGATTACCTCTAAATCTTAGGAAGACAGACTTAGTTTGTTGTTAAATATTGTGTTGTTACGAAGTTTCCCCTCATAAGTTGTTCAAGACTTTTTGATTCCTTTATCTACCCTGACATTTTCATGCTATTATTTTAACCTGTCTTGTGGCTGGGACATTAAACTCGGTTTGTATAGTTTGCTTTTAATTACGATCTCCTTTGTGTTTTACTGTTATTTTATTTACATCTTTATGTTTTTATAGTACTTGGTGCTGCTACTGATTTTGGTTATTTTTTGTGTATTTTATGCATTTTGTTTTACATTTTGTTGCCCAGTAAGCTGCCCCAAGTCCTTTTGGGGAGATGGGGCGGGATATAATAATAATAATAATAATAATAATAATAATAATAATTAGTAGTAGCAGTAGTAGTAGTAGTATTTGAAACACAGCAAGATGAGTCCACAGTAGACACTTTGCAGCTGTTTTATTGGATCATACGTCAGACACTTCCCAAGTGTCTAGGACTGTGTGAT